TTTAAGGAGATGTGTTTATGTATCTAATTGACAGAAGGTAGACTTGTGATGGTTAATCTTGATTGTCCACTTGACTGTACTGAGAGGCACCTAGATTAGTAAAGCACACCTCTTTTGTCTTTGAGAACATTTCCAAAGACACTGGATTGTGAGGGGTCTGATTTACTGAATGGTCAAATTCATTGATGGACACCAAATTTGAACAGATTGTTAGGAAGTGGTGGAAACTACAAGCTGGAGTCTGATTGTAGGAATTAGGTGCTTAGGGGTGTGTCTTTAAAGAACATATTTTACCCTGGCCTTTTCCTGTCTTTACTCTGCTTCCTGGTTGCCATGAATTGAACAGATCTGCTCTACAATCATCCCCCAAACATGATTGACTAAAACCTCTGAAGTTGAGCAAAATGAATAATTCTTCCCATTGTGTTGCTTCTGTCAGATATTTTCTCACAATTACACAAAAGCCAGATTAATATAAGCCCTCATGAGTGAGGTCAGTTCCCTTACAAAAGAGACATGATGGTAACCTCTGACCTCTTCTACCATATGAGGAAATAATTCGAAGGTACCTTCTGTGTACCAGAAGCCAATCCCTCACTAGACACTGAACATACTGGCACATTAAACTTGAGATTTCCAGCCTCTATAACAGTAAAGTGTAACTTTCTTTTGTTTAGAAGCCTTCCAGTCTGTGGTATTTGATTAAAGAAGACAGAAAAGCTGAAATTGTCCACCAAGATAGTACATGAAATATAATATTAATTTAACTTTTCTATGATAAGCAATTAATTTTCCCTTAGTTCCTACTTCAAAAAGAAATAGATATTCCTTTATCTTACAAACTTTATTTTGTACAAATATCTTAAGTATTTTATAAGAAATGTTGAACTCCACCACATTTCAAGTTACCAGGCATTCATTAAATAATTTGTGTTTAAAATATTTCATTAACTGCTGCGGAATTCTTAGTTTTAAATATTAAAACTACTCTCTATATGTAAATGTAATACTGATTTATATTTTAACATATCTGAATTTAAAAGTTAAGAAATAGGAGAATGACTTTTACATGTGCAGTGCAGTGCCAGTTGTTCTATTTTCATTAGTTGTCATGTATCTTTCCATATCCTTTATCTGCCTGCAAATTTACAAGGAACACAGCAGGTTGTGAATTTTTAATGGTTTTCCTCAAGGAAAGAAAAGGTCAGTATTAACATAAAATTCTTCTTAAAGATTTGTGGCACAAATGTTTCACTCCGGAAAACAGGTGTTACTGAAGAACTAAAGCCACAATAATCTAATATTTTTCCTATGTTTAAAGAAAACTTAATATCTGATGTAATAAAATAGCACAAAACAAATCCATATAAAAGTTATTTCTGTGAAAGTAGATGCTATCAGGTTTTTGGTACATGAACGACCTATTGATCTTCTCTGCTACAGTAACATATGATTTTATTTAATTAAATGTTTGAAAAAAATCCAAGTATAGATACCTGATATCCTAAAAAAAACAAGGAAAGAATAATGAGAAAACTAATTCTGATCTATCTTAGTAAATTGTTGGAATGGGAAATAAACTTGCATCACACATACCAGCAATGAGTGGAAGAGACAATACCAAGGTAAAGGTGGAGAAGATGCACTGAAAGAGATAATTGAAATTATAAATCATAACTTAGAACAGTGAAGCCTAGTGAAGAGCCTACAACAAGGAACTTTATCCATTAGTTTCTTTGTGTGACTTTTAGAAATGCATTAGCACCAATATACCTGTTAGAAGTGGGCTTTTGCAACCCACTATGAGAGGACGCTTTTCGGCAGGTTTCAGATGTAGAAATTCATTCAGTTCACATAGCATAGCAAATGTCTATTGGAATACTTTATGTACCCATTTCTCAAATGCACTTTTGCAAGCAAGGTTTCATTAGACATCAGCTAATGTCAAGGCCCAAAATATGGTCATTTTTATCCTTTTTATAGTGTCAGTTTTCAGTTTTCCTCTACAAAAAAGTCTTTTTTAAAAAAAGTACAAACTATCACTATTGCAAGAGCTAAATGGTTAAAGAAACATTTATTATAATCATATGTCTAGCTTTTTGAAACAAAAAATTATAAATTCATAGGTGTTATTTGCTTCTCTTAATTATATTCCTATGGGAGGAAAAAAAGACATCCTTCCATTTTCTGATTCTTCAAACTGCAGTCTAACTTGCAACCTTCATCCCTTTGATTCCCTGCTACCATGTTCAGTTTTCTAATCCAACAGAAACTTCCACAGTATGTGGTCCAATTATAGGATTTAATTTTCACTCTCTGTAGTATATGTGAAGGTAAGAATCCTGCTGTGATTTATATTCTAAGACACAGTTTTATGAAAATTAGAATCTCACTGTGTGAGCAGCTTTTTATACATGTCTAACTGATTAGAGTAGGAAAACTGGTTTTAATCATCTCCATCTTCCCTTATATCTTTTTTTCCCCAAAAAAAATCTGTGTTCTATATTCATCCAGTGTTTTCAGATGTAAAATCTGTAACACATAAAATATTTTCTTGGTTCAAACCTTTACTCATTCTTTATCTGGTAGTTTAGGTATTGCATGCTTAATAAATTCTCACTCCTTCCTGTGAGCTACTTAGGACAGCAGTATGAATTTCCATTGTATGCCTTGTTAGAATCTTCCATAGAACTAAAGCAAAATTTTCGTTTGCTTTCAGAAGTATGTAATTCTTATGAGAATACACAAATATTTCTCAATTGAAATTATTGAAAGAATACATAATAAATTGTCTATTAAAAACAGTAAGTTAGCTATTCCAAGGAGTCTTACTGATTTTTATCAATAATATTTTCTTGAATTATTTTGATTCCCAGAAAGAAAAAGAAATATGCAGTGCTTAAATCTACCATTTGAAAATTGCCACTTGGTTCATACACAAGGAATTGGAAAGTTTCCCAGCAACCATGTGCATTTTCAGTTACGAAAAAAGCATCAATCTTGTGACTTTTTGAGAGTGTTCCCAGGACAACACAGTCATATGTTACTTCTGAGAGCTCAGATATTTCCTGAAATTCTCGTCCTTACTTTATTGTTTCTGACTAGCGAAAAAATGTAGTAAAAAGGTATTTGCTCCATGATTTCTTTACCTTTTTGTCTAAATTATACATCCACTTTGGATTTTCTTTATCCATCGTATGCATAATAATGAGTTGTTTATTCTGAAATAGGAAATATATTTGTATACATAGTTAATGGTTGACTACCAATTAGAAACCATTTTTAATTATGAAGGATTTTTAAAAAGCAGTCTACTTTTGTAAACCTAGTGGTAACTTGAAATGAAATATACTCTATATAAAAACATTTCTTTGTTTTTACCATTTTATGTTCACATAAAAATATTTTAACATTCAAATTCATTAACATAAGTTCTCCTAAGGAAAAAGTAACTTTCATATGAAGAAACCAAATTCTACTTTAAAAAGGAAAAATCCACTTAATATTCCTGTACTTAATCAGTGAAATGTGTGTTATGCAAGTGATCAAAAGAGCAAAAATCATATATATTTAGATAAATGTCTTTCCAGGAAGTTTTTTACAAATTTAAGTATATTGTCTCCATCTTATGTCTGGATTTTAAATGAATATTAAAAATAAAATATGTTAGTAACTATTAATTTATTGTACATACTTTGTATAAATTAAGAAAAGCTACATATTTTGTGTACGTCATCAAATGAGTAATAAAAAGTTTGAAAGTATATTATTTTATTTTAAACAACAAAACTGTGATCTTGTCGTATGCAATCTTTGCTGGTAGCATAGTACAACTAAAGAAAAAAATTAATAATCCTTGTTTTTTATGTCAACCTCTGTTCCTTTTATGGCCAAACTCTTTTTTTCATATCAAAAATCCTATGGAAAGGAGGGAATATATCCATTTATTGCCAGGTGCTTGGGACCCATTATTCCAAACACCTTGAGTTGTTTCTGAATCCTAGAAGGTCTCTTGTCCATGTAAGTCTCACAAAGGCGATATTCACTCACGTCTATATAAGCATCCCTAAACCTGAGGACTAACTTTATGAGTAACTATTGAAAAAAAATGTGTATGGGATTTACCCATGACACATGGGTGGCTGACATGCTTACTGGACTAGAATGTCCACATGAATGTACAAAAAACTCTTCAATGTGAAATATTGATTCTGAAAAATTTAGTATGGCTGTGTTATAGGCATAGGCAAGGACACAATAAACAGGTTGATCTGCACTGCCTTGTCCTTTGTAGATTTTAAGAAGATAGGTTTGAAAAGGTAGGAGTTTTATTTCTTTTATTTATTGCTTCAGTGTATATAGGCATGTGTTGTGCCGACATCTATTTGCACTCTTCCTGAGACCTACAGACTTTTGTATGGTTGTTGATGTCTTTTATATGAATCAATAAATAGTGTATGGTGTTCCTGAAATAGGAGATACACCTCATACAGTTTTGCCTATCTTATAGATCATAAGATTTCATCAATTACCCAACAGAAATATAATCATTAATAATAAGTTTACAGAAGCCAAATTTCCTGCAAAATATGAGAGAAAAAGAAGTTTTAATTGGCAGAAAGAGATGAGAGAATAATGTTTATACCATCATGGCTGATACTTTTATCATTTATCAGGATTTATGTGTCCATAGCAATGTTTATTCACCAAGCAAAAAGAAAGGAGTTTGGTTTACTTCTGTTATTTTTTCCATTTAGAGTAAATATCATGATGACAGGTAGAATGCTATTCCTAGTGCTTAACATGTATAAGTAAATGTGATCAAACTTACTGAACTCTCATTAAGTAAATGTGATCAAACATACTGAACTCTCGTTTGTAGAACTGAGATTACTGAACCCATCACTCAGTGATTGAGTCTGAAGGAGTTTCTTTGAATTCGTTCAGCATTATGTACCTTTAGACATTATCATGAATATACTCATTTTTATTTCTCCTAGCTTCATTCAGACCAGGATAAAGGAGATGGATCGCTCAAATATATTTTATCTGGAGATGGAGCTGGTACTCTTTTCGTTATTGATGAAAGAACAGGTGATATTCACGCCACAAGAAGAATTGATAGAGAAGAAAAAGCCTTTTATACTCTACGTGCTCAAGCTGTCAACAGAAGAACTCTGAGGCCAGTGGAGCCAGAGTCGGAATTTGTGATCAAAATCCATGACATAAATGACAATGAGCCAACATTCCCAGAAGAAATTTATGCAGCCAGTGTCCCCGAAATGTCTGTTGTAGGTGAGTTAGCGTTACGAGAGCGTTAGCGAGCATGCAGGTAATTCAAGGTAGTTCTCATAATAGGATTAGTTCCTTGAAATCATACTGCATTCCTTACCAATAGCGCATATTTAATATTTGCATTTAGGAAACAATGAGTAGAAATGACTTTAATGCATTTTAGATTTCTTATGGTTTTGTAAAACTCTACAATATTTAGAGGTATGAGGCCTCTAATATTTTGTCACATGGAATTGGATCACAGTTGTGTAAAATGTATTACAGATATGATCATTCTTTGCTGTCCACAAGGGATAGGTTCCAGACTTCTTACCCATAACAAAAACCTTGTAGGCACAATTTTCTTATATAAGATAAAATAGCATTTGCATATTAACCAATGCCTTCCTTTCATGTATTTGCAACCATCTCTTCGTTACTTACAATACCTAATACAATGAAAATGTTATATAAGTAGCCATTATACTGTATATTATTTAGGGAAAATGGCCAGAAAAAATTTCTACATATTAAGTAGATTGCAAAAATGTTTCAACCCCAGAATATTTGATGCCTTTTATGCAAAAACTGCAATTTGGGAAAGCCAGTATTACATAACAAATATCACAATTTTCAAAAGATTATCAAAATATTTCAGAAGATAGAGTTCATAAGCTCATTTAATTCTTCCTTACTAAATATCAAAATATATCTTTGCTTTATAATCTTCTGAATAGAACTCTGCTGTTATAAATTAATGTTCGAATAAATCAGTTAACCATAGTAATCACATACCAGCAGAGAATTACAAAGTTACATTGTGGAATGTCTGAAATAGAGGGCGTAAAAAATAGAACTATATTCAAGAAAATGAAATTTCTCTTTCAAAGTAAATAGATGAGATACCTTTATAGGAAAATATATTAAAGTTTTTATTTTTATTAGAACTTGACAAAGAATTAATAACTTCAGCAAATACTGATAACATTTAAGCTATATATCTCTATATATTTGAATTTAACAGAGAACACGTACTTCTCTAACGTGTGTGAACTTGTTTTGACTGATGAAACCACACTGGTGCTTTTTTTACTTGTAACAGTTTGAATATTAAACTCTGCATTTCTCAAAAGTATCTGTTCTGAAATTGCTATTTAATATTTAATTTTCAAAATCCCAAGGACTTTGGCTGATCACCTACTATAAATCCTTTATAAATATCATGGAATTTGTTAAATAAATTTTAGTAGTTCATGGAACTTGGAATCATCTTGGATTGTTTCTAAGTTTGGAATTGAACCTATTCATAAAGTTGTACTCGAGAGAAGATCTAAGTTATTTTATAGTTAATTAGTGCCTTTTACACAAAACAAATATATAATGTGAAAATGAATCAAAATATCAAACTTCAAAATGTGTACAGTGACCACACTTATTATATTGTGAAGCACTGCAGCATTATCTGTTTCATACATAAAAATACACCTGTTTGTTAAGTAAGCACTATGTAGTTAAACTTGGAGTTTACCTGTTGAAGTACTATGTGTGTGTGTTAATTTTATCCAAATTATATGGTAAAGTTTCTTAAAGAGGTCATTTTAAAGCTAAAAATCATTCAAGTCTTCAATGAAAACCAGTGCTTTTGCTCCTCCTTCTGGTACTGTGCAGAACTAAGCTGAATTTGGATACTTCAGGTACTTCTGTGGTGCAAGTCACAGCTACAGATGCCGATGACCCCTCATATGGGAACAGCGCCAGAGTCATTTACAGCATACTGCAAGGGCAGCCCTATTTCTCTGTGGAGCCTGAAACAGGTCAGGAATAATGAATCAGTGTTTATTAATTTAATCATCTTTATGATGTTTGAAAATTGAAAGATGATGAGAGAATAATAATAAAACCTTAACATTAATACTTTCAGAAGAACTGAGCATGGTGATACATACTGCAATCCCAGCATTTTAGGAGGTGGACACAGGTGGATCCTGAGTTTGAGGCCAGAGTGAGCAAGTTCCTGTCTCAAAAAAAAAAAAAAATCCAAAACATAAGGGCTAAGGGTAGGGCTCAAGTGGTATACCGCTTGCCTGGCACACAGGAGTTCCTGGCTCCATTTCTTGCACCTCAAATAAAGAAACAAACAAACAAATAAACACAGAAGAGTGGTGATGCCATGCTAAATATTTAAAAATTCAAAGTTAAGTAATTGAGTAAATTAATGGAAATATAAGTTTTGATGTTTTTAATATATAAAATTAGAACATTTTGTAGATGCAGTATTGCTCAGAATTAGAAAAGCAAAACAAACTTTAAAATATTTATTTGGAATCACTTTTACAATTGTTAGACAAAAATGTAAATAGCAATCATATATTTTATCTTTTAAATATCACTGCTTAATGCTTGTTGGCTTGCACAGTAATTGACACTGCAATGAAAATTACAAAAGCACTTGCATCTTTTACAAGGTATCATCAGGACTGCTTTACCAAACATGAACAGAGAAAACAGGGAACAGTACCAAGTGGTCATCCAGGCCAAGGACATGGGCGGCCAGATGGGAGGCTTGTCCGGGACCACCACGGTGAACATCACGCTGACCGACGTCAACGACAACCCACCTCGCTTCCCCCAGAGTAAGTGTCCTGTGAGGGTAGTTCTGCGTGACAAAAGATATAGGGGACAGAGAGAGAGAGGAAGAGAGAAGGAGATGATTTAAATTGAAAGTGTGCTACAAAATGAATAAAAAGTGTGTGTACTGATGGATTGATGGACTCATTGTCATTAAAAATAAAATTAACATTTCAGTCGGGGTGATCAAACCAATGAAAAATATAAGCTCATTTGGAGTTGTCATTATGAATCCCAACTGAACAAAGAATATATCCTAATTTAAAAAAATTAAAATAAATCAATCAATATTTCAGTCATATTTCATAGAGGCAGGAGCTATGATCCCCAGACTTCTTCATAAATATGCTTTGCACTGTTATTTAAGAACACTTTATTTCAGTTAGCAAAAGAAAAAAATGTTTTATCAAAAAATGCAATCATAGTTTAAAATGAATGTGCTTGACACCACTTAGGATTGAATAATGAGGACTCTAACTTGAGGGTAACATTTTTCAATAAAAATCTAATTTGAGAAATTATAAGGACTCTGCCATAAAGGGTTAAATAGGAATACCTTACAAAATAATGCAGCTTATATTTCCAATCACTATGTGTAGATAGGCACCCACACAAATATTTTGTATTCCTGGTCTAGGTATTGATCTGTTTTGAATTAGCACATTATATTTCCTAACTAATTTAAAAATAGGTTAAGAATCATTAGCATCTGACTATGCAGTGCATGTGCTTATTCTCTATTCATACAAAGGTGGCGGATTGCGTGTCTTGTTGTATATAGACAGGAGAGTGGACTCTACCAAACGTCTTTCTATTTAAAAAGATCCTGTAAGCTGGGCGCTGGTGGCTCATGCCTGTAATCCTAGCTACTCAGGACACAGAGATCAGGAGGATCACAGTTGGAAGCCATCCTAAGCAAATAGTTCTATGAGACCCTATTTCAAAAAAAAAAAAAAACCCATCACAAAAAAGGGCTGATGCAGTAGCTCAAGGTATAGGCTCTGACTTCAAACCCCAGTCCTGACAAAACAAACAAACAAACAAAAACATCCTGCAAGACTATAGAATATAGGTATTGTGTGTGTGGAGGGTACTTGTGGAAGGGGGTAAGGAGAATGGAGGAGATGAAGGTGAGGGAGTGCGGTTGATGGACTTAGTATACATATATGGAATAGAATGATGAAACTTCTTGCAATTGTTATTAGTGAGGACGGGGATGCAGGTGAGGGAGCTGGTGGGGGCTGTCTTACCAATGAACAGTGTAAAACTATTCAGAATTATCACAATAAATTCCCCCTGTACAATGAATATTTGTTAATAAAATTTTTAAAAAGATCCTGCAGTACAAAAGTTGTTAGAAATCAGGCATAAAAAGCAGATTCTAGTATGGTCTATGTCCTCAAGTTTCATCAACTGCTAAGCATTAACATCTAACTCAAACCCCAATTTTAGTTAGGTTTTTTTCCTTCACTTCAATACCTTAATGATAAAACATTAAAATATGAATTGCAGTAGGGTTTTAAATCTTTACACTAAGAATTGATACTCAGATAGATTATAAACTTTCACTGTACTGTTTATTCTTTAAAAAGTATTGTACTCTTTCTTATGTTTTAAAATCTAAATTTGCTTATTAGTAGTGTACTATCTGAACTAAAATGCTTAAAATTAAGGTGGCAGAAGGACTATAAAATTCAAATAGAATTTTCTTGAGTGGATTAATCACGTCTGTGCATTTATGTCGGATGTTTTGTTAGGTATTTAATTGACATGCCCAGCGGGCCTGCTGAACACACAGGGGATGGTATCCATCTGTACACCTCTCAGATAGGCAGGCTTCAGCTCCAGGTTATCTTTGTCATCTGGCAAGGAAGAAAAAAAAAAAACATACTAATCCTCTGTAGTTCCCAGGAACAGGTTTAAAGACATGTACAAAATTTAGTTTAAATTTCAGATTATATCTATATTCCTGACTACCTTTTCTCTTGAGCCCATTACTAGGAGAGTAAACATGGAAGTTTAGTGAAATAAAACATAAATCATTAATTGGATAACCCACAATCAACAAAACAAATCCTGAAAAAAGTACTTTATCAAGAATAAATGCCAACCTGGAGGAGTATTATGTTTTAAATTGTCAGGAATCTAAAATGAAGTTCATTTATTTCTTCATGGTACATTCAATGGGCTAAGTCATAGATACTAATTAAATGAAAAAATGGACATTTAAAATGTAATAATGTTCAATTAAAATTTACTTTATTATGTTTTCACTTGTTATGACTCATTCATTCAATAAATATTTCCTTTCCTTTTATTAAGTTGAAATTTATGATTGGCATCTATTAGGCACATTACACACAACCTGATATAGTAGTAACTGTAGTTTCAGTAATAATCACAATGACAATAATAACAACAAGAAAAAGAAGCAATTGCAGCATACATTTTCGTCTCTGAGTGGCATTTTTCTGGACATGACACCAGGTTATTTACTGACCGGCTTTATTTAGTCTTAATAACTCACTCAGTTATTGGTATTATGATTCCATTCTACAAATGGGAAACAAAGGTTAAAGACAGTGAGGCCAAATTGCTAGTAATGGTGGAAAGGTGTTGACATCAGTATCCAACCCCATAATAGATTTTGAGAAATTTTAGAACATCCTGTATCTTATCTCATTATCTTACAATTACAGATGGAAACATAATTTATGGATTTTTTCCCAAATTATATTTTATGTTATGAATATATGCAATCAGATCTGACTACTGGGAGCACTCAGCCAAGGCAATTGGAGTGTTACCTGATAGTCTAAGTCATCTATCATAGAAAAATAATTTTTAATATCACTTTATTAAATATCCAAAGTTTAGAGTTAGTCATACTGCTTGTGAACCTTTTCATATGCAGTATCTTATTGAAATTCACAATTAAACAATATCAACCCAGTACTGTCATTGTCATTCCTAATGTACAAAACCAAGAAGGCGCTTCAGGATAGATATGATAAAGAGACCAAACCAGTTCTGCGTAATAGACATGTAATGCAAACCAGAAATGCATGCTACATGTGTAACTTTAAATTTTCTATCAATCACATAAAAAAAAGTTCAGAGAAGCAGAAGTCATTTATTTTAATACATATTTTTCTTACATTTTTAAAATTAGGCAGTATTAAGGTTTGAACTCAGGTTCTCATGCTTGCTAGGCAGGTGTTCTACCACTTGAGCCATGCAACCTGTCCTGTTTGCTTTAGTTTTCAGATAGGGTCTCCAGCTTCTTTGATTTTTATTGTTGTTGTTTCGGTTTGTTTTTTTTTGTCTTGGCCAGCCAGGACTGCAATTCTTCTACTTAAGCTTCTCATGTAGCCTGGATGACAAGCGGGCATCATCATATCCAGCTTTTTCCTTAAGATTGGGTCTCACTAACTTTTTTGTGTGGGATGGCCTCAACCATGATCCTCCCCATCTTTGCCTCCCAAGTATCTGGGATTATAGGCATGAGCCACTGTACCCAGCCTAATTACGTATTTTACTTTACAACCAATATTTTTCCTAAACATAAGTCATCAATATAAAATTTACTCAGATATTTACATTTATTTTTCTTATAAATGATATGTCAAGTATGCTCCCCTGATGTAGAATCTCATTCATATTAACTGTATTTACAGACCACAGCCATAGGTTGGTTAGTGGTTTACCTGGTGGCTTTCATAGAGAATAGCTCAGGAGCAGACCCTGTAGTAACTGGCATGAGTCTGTGATGTCATCCACTGAGTAGTTTTTGCTGTGTGGCCAGTTAAACTGACTTCTGTAATTGTCATTGTCAGCAGTAACATTGGGAGCTAGTGTGCACTCCATAGAGTGATGTAAAGCTAAATAATTTAATGTCTCTGATCACTGACGCAGTGGCTGGCCCTTGGTATTGTATTCAATAGAGCTGACTCATGCAGATGCTGCTCTATTCTTATTATTACCATTAAATTTTACAAAAGTAGTGTCAGAACTTAAATTTTCATTCAAATTGATCCAAATTCAGTATTTTCTGATATGCAGAGCAGAAATCTTTGTCATTTCGAGGAGATAGAGACAAGAGTAAACCCAGAGGGTCTAGGTCCTTTAATTTTTTCTATGTATTTGTAACTGTGGTCCTCAGGGATAATTTTGGCTACGATGTGTCATTTGCCATTGTCTTCAGATGTTGTTGTGTTAACTAGTAGTATCCTTGGCCTCTAGTGAATGGGATCTGTGGATGCCACAGAGCATAGAACTGCCTGGGCGAGTATATCAGTATTGTCTGGGTTGGAAAATTTAGATATGTTATAAGAACAGGTAAAGTAAAACCATAATTTAGGTAAAAATTTCTGAGTATGATAATTTTAAAACCTGATACTGAATAAAATTGGACAGTTAACTTCTCTGGACCTCAACCCCTACATATACACTACTAATTTATTTTAAGAAATAAGGTCACAAAAATAAAATGTCTTCAGTGTTCCATGTAACATATAACAGGTTCTTAACACATCAGGATTTCCTCCCTTCCCCTCTTCATTCTGAAGGATTAGGTTTCATATTTCTAATTTTAGTGCTGTGCTTGCTCTGGTGCCAAGCTGCCATTCACTTTCTATTTCAAAGATGAAATAGAAACACATCTAACCTGGAAAGATCTTTAACTATGAGGACCACAATAAAATTAGTGCATTTGCCTCATATGTACCAACTAATACTACCATTCATAAGGACTTCAACTAAACATTTGCAGTTTCATTGAATCAATGTCACAAAAATGTTATACATCACAACTTAAATCTGTCCACTTGGCATGGCCACTTGAATATTTTAGGCCTGTCCACCTTATTTCCTTCTTCTTTCCTAAAATCATTTCTTTTTAAAAGGCTTCAGGAAAAGGTCTACAAAACAATTAAATTACTGGAAGCTGATCATTGTGGGGGCTGGAAAAACTAACTCTAATAAAAATATTTGTTTCCAAATGGCC